ATCAACATAGAAATCTTACATATTTCCTACAATATAGTTAAGTGTCATAACGATGTTTATTTGGAGAAAGGTATTAACTTGCAGTCTATACGCTGAGAATTAAAACATAAGTTACAGAATTCCTCAAAGAAAATGGCACATTACAGCGCAATATTGAATTGCTGCAGTCATGGGGTTTGTCTCATTATGATAAATGTATTACACATAATTCATCACAACTTATATATTGAAAGCACACACTAAAACAATAAATGTACAGTTATCTACTTTGGATACAAATTTAGTGGGTTCAAAGAATGGCGTTTCATCTTCACTAGTTACTGTTAATTGATGAATATTGTACTTCACATAATGAAATGGTCATAATAACATTGTCCATACAGAAAAAGTAAGCGCTTAGTAATACATATACTATACTGGAAATTAGGGCATTTAACATAGAAAAGAAATAATTCTACAGAGTCCCATTGGTACACAATGCAACACATTACAATATGGCATATATCTGTAAAACAAAAATACCTGACAGAGAAAATATGTGCATGGCACGTCATGTAACATAGAAAGAAAACTGTTTATACAAAACTAGAAAAGGTTATCACTTTAAAATAAAATATTAATAAAAAGGCTTAATAAGCAGCTATGTGTAAATATGAGGAAAATGCATTATATTGCAAAGTAATTGGCATGAACCAAAAAAGCTGAAACAATTGGTCCTCAAGTTAAACATTGTTTAGTGTTTTAGTGAATACATGTTGTTGTGTAAAAAAAACACTCAAAACAACATAACTGAATCATGATCATCACAAATATTAACAAGCACAAGGCATCTAAAACCTCAGTTGTAATTTACGTTAATTTTGTTAAAAAAAAAAAAAAAAAGGCTCTGTAGCAGCAAGTAAAATACTGAAAGTCTATAAAAGAGGAGATTCACAGTTCCTTTGTAATGACACAGGTGCAAACAACCTTACAGCACAGCCAAGGTTGAAGGTACAAGGTCCAACTGTTTAAAAGTCATTAAAATGCACAACACAGTTCCAGAACAGACAAAGGCCAACCGAAATCAGAATCACACTGTATCACACCGTTAAACAACTCGAAAAAATCATCTTTTCCTCAATATGATGCATTTGGAACACAAAGACCATTTGTGCAAGAACTCACTGAAACATCTATGAAATACATCTCATTCACACAAAAACTACACACACACACACAGTTCTCTTGACCTCTCAAGCGCCAAAAGCTTTAAACATCGCTACGGTTATTACAATACCAAAGCTGGACTAAATTAACTACAAAGCATACTGGTATATTTCAGTTCTGATAACAGATATAAATGTGTAAAAGGACAGAATATCTCCAAATAGGAATCAGAGTAATCCTTGGAAAAAGAAACTATCAATATGGAATGAAATTTGCATTTTAGACAGTGCATTATAACATTAAGCCCATTGTTTACTTTTTAGCGTATAATGAGCAAAGACATTAAAGGACAATGTCTAGAACTTGGCCACTAAAAACCTCTGTCTAAACCGAATGACCATCATTCACAAGTTTGGGGTCAGTATGATTTTTTAAATCTTTTTGAAAGAAGTCTCTTATGCTCACCTAGGCTGCATGTATTTGATCAAGAATACAATAAAAATAGTAATATTGTGAAATATTTTAACTCCAGTCTTCAGTGTCACATGATCTTTCAGAAATCAATTGTAGGTGCTGATTTGTTGCTAAAGAAATATTTCTAATTATTATCAATGGTGAAAACAGTTATGCTGCTTAATACTTTTGTGGAAAGCATGATGTTTTTTTTCTTTGATAAATAAAAAGTTCATAAGAACAGCATTTATTTGAAACAGAAATAATCTGTAACATAATAAATGTCTTTCATAATAATTAATTGCCAATTTTGATTCATTTAATGCATCCTTGCTGAATAAAAGTATTAATTTCTTTAAAAAAAATGACCCCAAACTTTTGAACAGCAGTGAATTTGACCTCAAAAGCTAATAATAAAAAAATAATAATAATAATAACTTTTTTGAAAAGAAAATGGGAGCTTATTTTATGAACAATAATGTTCATATTACTGTAATGCAACTAATCTCAATCCTAAACATAATGCAAAAAAAAGCATGTAAAGTATGTATACATGTACTGTGAAAATAATAAAAAATCATAAAAAATAACAATTGCGTCTGGACAGTATTATTCCCATTACTGTATTACAATACTGAGAATCTACTGAGAATACAGCAGTGAATTTGACCTCAAAAGCTAATAATAAAAAAATAATAATAATAATAACTTTTTTGAAAAGAAAATGGGAGCTTATTTTATGAACAATAATGTTCATATTACTGTAATGCAACTAATCTCAATCCTAAACATAATGCAAAAAAAAGTATGTAAAGTATGTATACATGTACTGTGAAAATAATAAAAAATCATAAAAAAAAACAATTGCGTCTGGACAGTATTATTCCCATTACTGTATTACAATAATGAGAATCTACTGAGAATTATCCTTGAAACAAACAAAAGTAAAACTTCCAGATCAATATATCGACCCGGTTTGAGTGATATTTTGGGGTGAAATATGACCCAAACATGTGCTCCATGTGATTCCCCAGTGCTATGTAATATATGACGATGCAAATGGCAGTGGCACATTGGGTTTTTGCTATGACTTCTCAAAATGACATGGCCTTCAAAGCCAAACTTCCATGCAAGCAGTAAGGGGAGTTTATATTCTTATAAACTGACTACCTGATAAATGAGGATTTAAAATGGCGGTTTTACTTCACATCTTTCTGTCACAGATTATTTAAGGGAGCTGGCTATTTGTTTGCATTATTGACTTCTTCATTTAAAAAAATGCATGCATAAGCAACCTCAAACAATCTCGCAAGCAATCAACAAGAAGTGCATTTTGTGCGAATAATAAATGTGCACACCAACAGACGAATTTTGTGGCAATGGTTCTTAAAGAATCAGTTCACCCTAAAATAAAAACCGTCATCCTTTACTCACCCTCATGTCATTCCAAACCCGTAAGCATCATATGGCTTCAGAAGACTTGGAATATAACTCACAAGTCACATGGACTGCTTTGGTCACTGTATATTTTCTGTTGGAAAAGAGCTTTGTGAGCATTCTTCAAAACATCTTCTTTTGTATTCCACAGAAAAAGTCAGTCAAATGGGTTTGGAACAACATGAGGGTGAGTAAATAATGACAGAATGCTTATTTTTGGATGAACTAGTCCTTCAAGTGGCTGAGACTGCTGATGAAAACCTACATTCTCGTTTTTTCAAATCGACAAATACATTGGCTCTCAAGTCAGCAGGGAAATCCCAACTGCTGCATTGTACAGAAGTATAGAAAATCTCATTGTCTGACCTATCAGCAAGAATATTTGTGTAACAAGGCCCTTTTTTTCTCGCCAAAAGCATCTAGGAGCTTCGGACCCACCTTTAAAAGCAGCATCATCTTGATATCGTGTTTTTCCCAAATGTTTTAAAATACCCAGGGATTTAAGAAGGGTAAAAGAAGTAGACTTCAACAGCAGTGGAAAACAGTAACCACTGCAACTACGTAGTGGTTCCCAACAATACAACCACTTTGTATGCAATCCATGTTGCCCTCTCAGCCAGACAGAGTGGCCAAGTCTACTAGTTTATGCTGCAGCAACTCAAGTAATTGATGTTTTTCCCTTCTCCAGGCATGGGAGTGGAATCGTTGTTGTCCAACGTGTTTTGCTTGGCCTCGCGGATCAGTTCGCAGGCCAGATCCAGAAAGAGCTTCTCCACGTTGTCCGATTCTTTGGCAGAGGTCTCCAGATAAAGCATGCTCTGCGCCTCCGCAAACTCCTCTGCTCTCTGCCGATGGACTTCTCGCTTATCGGCCAGGTCTATCTTATTCCCTGCAAACAATAACAGCAGTGAAAAGGGCTCAAACGCTCTGGTTACAAGGACGCCAAATATGTGTTGACAGCTAGAAGGTCTAATGTAAGCCAGTTAGTTTGTTCAGTGACAAACAGCTCCAAAAACTTATTAAACTAATGTTGATGGACAATTTCCTGCATTGGTTTACAGAGTGCATTGTGACCGACCGACCAACCTGGCAGTCAGACAGATCAATAGATCAAGATAGATAGATAGATGATAAGCCATATATTATGGCTATAATATCAAGGGTTAACAAGGGTTAGTTCACCCAAAAATGAAAATTAGCCCATGAATTACTCACCCTCAAGGCATCCTAGGTGTATATGACTTTCTTCTTTCTACGGGTGAACAAAGGCCCCCTGTAGTGAATCGATGCGTTTTTGTAAGAAAAATAACCATATTTAAACCGTAATAATCACTTTAATCTAGCTTGCGCTCACTGTTGTACACGGAAGCAGCTCCGTGCGGATGACGTAAGACATCGGCGTTGCGCATGCGCCGCTCAGAAGTGACGAACGTGGAAGCACAGGGGAGAGATCAAAACAAAACAACGGTCACGAATTAGAAGTACAAAACGAGGATTTGTAAAGAAGAATGTCGGAGGATTTCGATATAAGCCAAGAGGAGACTGGTTTTCCTTTGCTAAAGTAAGGAAACTTTGCTTCCTTTGCTCCTGTAAACAAACGTTGGTTTTCACGAAGGACTCAGTGGCGCATGCGCAACGACGACATCTTATGTCATCTTCCCGGAGCTGCTTCCATGTACAACTGTTGGCGCAAGCTAGATTAAAGTAATTATTACATTTTGAATATGGATATTTTTCTTACAAAAACGCATCGATTCACTACAGAAGGCCTTTGTTCACCCCCCGGAGCCATGTGAGGCACTTTTTTAATTATATATGGATGCACTTTATTTAACTTCTTTTGGACTAATGAACTGTAACACCTGCTGATTGCCATTAAACAGCTTGGAAGATCAAAGACAATTTTTAATATAACTC